AAAACCAGTAGCTGATACCTAAACAACAACATTTTGAGGTGAAGAGGTATTTTCAAGTGAACATTTCTATGGGATGCAGGCTGCAAATACTTGTAACTTGAAACAAGGACTGATAGAGGTGATATTAGTGGAACATAAAAGTTGAAGGATGTGAAAGATGAAAGGCAGGATGGTATTACTGTTATCCAAAGGAGAACAAGAGAAGGTAAAGCATCAGGGATTTTTAAATTTTTTTTTTTAAAGAAATTCTTCACTGGTAGAAATGTCATCAAATGTTTGTGTTTGGAAAAGCAGAAAGGTGCAAAAACAGTCGGGGGAACTGCAAAAACATTTAAAAAATCAGAATTCATTTGCTTGAGAATATCAGTGAGGGAGGAGAAGCAGCAGTATTTGAACAAAGAAGGCAGAGCTGTGAAGGCAGCATGTGTGATCATGAGGTTTCCCCCAGACACATTCAGTAGCAAAGGCTGAGGACATTTCCCTGCTCCAGAAGAGACCCACTGTGATAACTGCTTTGTGCCTGAGCCTTTCAGGCTTCTGTTGGCCAAAGCCTGCAATGCAGCAGGAGTAATCGACGTTTCCAAAATGGCAGATAACCCATGAGCTTTAGCAACGCCTTCAGCAGACTAATAATAATATGTTTAAATTACATCAAGCACAAAATAGTACAATGAACATGGTAACAAAGACAGTATCAGGAAGAAATAACTGGTTTAACAGGAAAATGTAGCCTAAGTCAATAAAATATTCACAGGACAGATAACTAGCAGGAGGTCCTTGTTCAACTACACCTTTCTAATTATATGAATATAATCATAGGAAAAGCAAACCCAAAATTAACCCAATTTGAGCACTTATCAAAGGCAAACTTAGAGAATCATCTTATTTTCTTCCTTCTATGAATGAGTTCAGGTTGTAGCTAGCTGCTTTGTTCTGCCTTCTTCCAGAAATTAGATTCTGACATTATTCCCTGGTTGATTTACCAAACTCTTTTCTTTCAGCTCACAAAGAAAAGGGAAGTCAGATCTCTCAGCAGGCGCTGAGATTGCATAAGCACCTCGCCATGTGTAGCAGCTTATCAGTCCTACAATCAAGGTCACAACACAAGGCCAACCCCCAGCGATAGTTGCCGAGGAGCCCGGGCACACAGACAGCACACAACACTTGTGGCTTCAAAGGCTCCGTTGATCGCACAATCCGCTTATTATGTGAACCCTCACAGATGAGTAAGAGAGCACTGTAAAAATAACCCCATCCAAATAGTACAGAGAAAAGACCTAAAAAAGGAAACTAATGTCCACAGCTTCACAGTCAACACTGCTGGGCTAGAGACAAAGCAACACCATCATTTAAGCTTGGTATCTCATGGGTCATGCTGACCTGAGAACCTCTTCCAAGGTAACAGAAATGGAACAAAAATGTCAGGACAGTTTATTGTGAAGGAAAACAAAGCTTCAGGAGTTTTCTGACCTCTTCAAATTACTAACATTCTCAAGAAGATATTTAACAACTTCCCATTACCCTTAAAGCAGACAAAACGGTAGGAAGGTAAGCTGTGGAGGACAAATGAAAGAAGCAAGAGGAATACAAGAAATGGCGCGCAATATATGAAAAATACTAAAAGGACTCTTACCTAATAACATGGACGTTTGCAGGCAGTTTAAGCCTGATTCATAAATGAATAGAATGTTCTGTAGTCGTTTGATTAGTGTTTATAATGTTTACTGTTAATGCATGCTTTTTAATGTTCGTACCCCAGTTATATTTGTTATATTATATTTGGACATGTATGAACATGTTGGTCCCCTCATGAATTTTCTCCTCCCTGATTGGTCAAGGTTTCCCTCTCCCTCATTGGCCAGGATTTGCCACAGTGTGGGCGGTCCTGCCATTTCCCTCCTTCCATGTTATTGGCTCCTAGTTAATTTATGCACGTTGCTGAATCCCCATTGGTTGTTTAGTCCCATGCTCCTCCCAGTTTCCAGATCCTTCCAGCCCGAACCCTATATAAGGGTTAGCTCTCCCCTCAGTCAGGTACAGCACCCTTGACTCTGTACCCTCATGCGTCCCTGTGTTAATAAACACCTACGACAGAGCAAGAACCCCTCGTGCTGTTGTCACCTCTCCTTTTACCGGGCTGCAGTAGTAAGCGGAAAACAAAAACGTCATTTAGATATTGTTTCCCTCTCCTAAAAAAATGTGCATTACCGTCTCCACTGTCCTCTGCAGGATGAAAACAAAACCAGGTTTTTTTCCCCCCAACAAAAGCTACAATTATAGCAAATGCAAAACCATAAAGGGACAGATAGAACTAGTGATATAGTTTTTACAGACAAGTTGTTCTAGAAAGGCAGCCAAAAAGATCTGCACAATGGATCTCTCATGCCAGGAGATAACAGATCATGATAAAATAGCTGTGAGCAGAGGAGCCATACCAAGAGAAAATACTATGCATGTGAGTGCAACGTCTTTTCCTTACCAGTCCCCAAAGGGCTCCTTCTGTTGTGGCAACGATGGTGGCAGCTCTAGGAGTGTTGTACATCAATGCCAGTTCCCCAAAGCTGCCGTGATTATCGTAGCGGCCCACGCAGCGTGACTGGTTGTCTTTTGCTACAACAATATCGTACAGTCCCCTGGTAAACAATGGAATAGACACTTTTTATTAGACAACATTCCAGCACAAGTCTTAAAAACAGCTTTTTGCTGTTATACAAATAGGCTTTTTATTGCTGTGTGAGATGGAACATGCTTTATGGAGCTTTCCAATTGCATGAGTCTCAGTTGCTTCTATCTACGCTATTTTCACACTAATTCTCTCTTAATGAAGCTTTTCACTCCTGATAGCTATGGGCAGGATTGACTTGGTTTCCTCTGCACAGTATTTTGACACTGCTGTTCTGGCTGGGGTGAGAGGCAGCTTCATCATCTTTAACAATGTCAATTCACAGCATGTGTGTTACCCAGTGAGGCCTCTTTTGAGTGACTTGGACCCATCTCTACTTGTTCTCTCAATGACAGCATTGCTGCAGGACCTTTGAGAAACACTCAATTGAACTGCTCACCTGCTCCTGTGGGTTTGTCTCAACTCCAGATTAGGGATATGTCTATATCATAACCCCAGGATGTTCTAAACCTGCTGACATCTACCAGGGTCTCTGAACAGAGCAAGAGGAAATGTCCAAGCACCAGAAGTCTCCTCACACTTTGTTCATACCGAGCTGAAATTTGTTTATATTGGAAAGGCCTCCTAACCCTGTTTTCCATGAAGCACACTTCCTACATTATAATGGAGTTGAGGCAACAGTATCCCAGAATTTACAAAGAATCAAAAGACTACTATGATGAAGATGCAGGTTCAAGTCCAGCTAGTCAAAGCTTATGACACAAATCTGGATCAAACTGCACTACAGCAACTGCCTATGAAGGAAACAGGCTGTGCACAGAAAGCCATTTTGAAGTCAAACACCTGTCTGTAACACCCTCAAGACTGTCATGCTTTAAACAATAATTTAGAAATACAGTTGGAGTAGGTTTGATTAATTCTTAGCTATGGCACCAGAGATCATTCAGGTACTAGTCACTGGCCTAAGAGACTTCACAGAACATATGCCCTGGAGAAAAGCACCTAGGGAACACCTTCCTGGCTTTAGGCAGCTGAATACACACATAGTTTTCCTGAGGAGTTTAGACCTTTGTCCAAAGGAATGGCATTATCTCCCAGAACATCATTAGGTCCATAAGAAAAAAAGAAATCACCAGAGATGGTAGTAGGTGGGGAAGGAAGGCACATGAGATTGCACAACATCCTTACCAGTCACTTTTCGTACCTGCTACTGCTTACACCTATGAGACAGAGTAGGAACCCAGCAGCATACTAAGAGTAAACCAGAAAAGGATTAGTGTTGATGGAAAGTGTCACTAATTCATGTAAGGTCTGATATCCATTTAATGATTTTCTGAGAGGCATCAGAGGCAACACTCTCCAAAGTTGTATTTTTGATCTAGAAGAGTTATCTGTGAACACCTTAAGCAAAAGCAACAACTTCTTCCCATCCCTCAGCCTGAAAGTCACTTACTAGTGCCATTTATTTCCAAATAAATATTGGTATGTAACCTTCAGCCAAGCATTCAGCTGTCTGTGGCCCAAGAACTAAACTGGTGAGGCAACACTGGGTGACCTTGGCTCAGTTTTATTGGGAAAACTGTTGTTGACTGTGAGACAGCCTGTGAGCTAAAGCTCTGCAAGATAAGAGGAATAAAAACAGACCGAAGTGTAATTGTTGAGATGGCAATCATTACAGGCCCAAGGACTCAAGGGAAAAGTACTGACATGAAAAAATATAAAACCCCGAGTTAAAAAAAAAAGCAGAAAAGCAGAAGAGGGCAACTCAGCAAGATTGTGGATCAGTCTGTTCCAGGAAACAACAGAGGCCAGTGCTGCCCCTCCTGACGATAGCTCAATCAGCAGAGACTCAGCAGGTGCCTCCTCAGCAGCAATGAGCATCCTAATGTTCAGCCATGGAACATATCCCTCTGAGCTCTCCCTTCCATGCAGAGGGCCCTAAATAGTTGCTGCATCCTCAGGTTGCATCTGCCCTGCCTGCTGTTCCTCTGCACATGGTAAAAGACACTCAGATACAAGTGATCTGGTGAGGAAGTATCACAAGCAGAAGACTATGGGGAAAAAAAAAAAAGGCCTGTGCCAGAACTTAAAGTCACTGTTCATTCAGGCAGGAAGAAATTAATCCTCAAGGATAGTTAGGCATTAATTACTTATATCAGAGTAACAAGCCATGCCTACTGATGCCTTGAAAGAGCCAGAATGCTTTGAACTTCCACCTGCAAACAAGTGGAAAGACTGTGGCTTTCTGTAAGGACCAGTATCCTCCTATTCTTTTGCATGAAAAATTAGAGGGTGAAAGATGGAGGAGGACTGGAAAGGGAGAAAGGACTGAAAATCTCTAACTGTAGAAGCTTTTCTCTAACTGAATAGCAAACAACAGTTGCAGCTGAGTTCGTGTTCACAGCAAAGGCTGCTACGCTGTGCCACTGGATACACCAAGTTTAATTTCCCTCACTGTACAGCCTCATATTTTTGCCAATATATTTACATTACTGGTGTATTTAACTTGAAAGTAAAACAAAACAAAAACCTTAAAAGCCTGAAAAGTTCCAACACAATTATCTCTCAAATAGAAAAAACCTGTTTTGGAATAGCATTACATCTGCAGAACAGAGACCATAGAAGCAGTTACCTGAATATCTAAGATAAAGTTCCATTGCACTTCTTTATTTTAGGTTAAAACTCATAGCAGAGACAGAGCTTTTAGTAACTAATAAGATAAAAAGCCTTACACAGAAACAAATTAAAACAGGCTGATGGTATCTAACATTTTTGAGATGATCCGAAACTGAGTTTAAATTTCCTCATGATTAGGAACCACTGCTCTGCATGGAATCTTATCTCTGCAGAGCTGGTGGCTCTGGCTCCCACAAGTTCTGATCTGCAGTACCTTACTCTTACCTGGGACAGCCTGATCTCCCCAGTGAACATGGCAAGAGAAGGAACTTGTCCTGTCTAGCCAAAGACTTGGGATTGGACTGAGGCAGAGCAGTTGAGGGTATTACATTTCTATACTGAGTACAGAAATGGAGCAGTGGTTTAGGCTGAGGGACGGTGTGGTAGAGGACAGGGGAATGGGCATATGGTCAATATATTTGAGGTAGCCCTATGTTCAGTAATTTCCCTAATCAGAGAGGGGAATGTCCTTAAAACAAACAAGAATCATTTAAAACGAACCATTTCTAACCTAGAAATTCGTTCACAAATTCCTTAAACACAGCATAAATGACAATTCAAAAGGAAACACATTGTCTTGGAAGAACTGCTCTGAAAGTATTTCATACAATATTAATGGTGCCATTATTTCAGTGAGAAGCAAGATAACAGCACATCAAAAAAGTAGTTTGCTAAGATCGTGTTCCAACAGACATTTATAAATCACTCAGTAATATTACGTTTAATATTACATTTTTGCAGCAGGAAATAAATCCATGTCCTTAATTATTCTTTAAATATGGTGATTAAAAGTAACATTAGCCAGATTTTCTTCCAAAAGGGTAAAAGATACTCAAGATGTCCATGCACATGTATATCTATTATATGCCTGTTACACATACATGTGATCCCAAAAATTATCAAGTGAATTTGCTTGATGCAAGCAATTGCAAAATGGCACCTTAAACTCTGCAAGGTACCACGACCAACAGAGGCAAAGCAACCCTAAGTCTCTCTGAAGTCAGTGATCAAAACTAACTGGACAAAGTCCAGGTTGTTCAACGGTTGCCATTACCATGGATTTTTACTTCCTGTATTCTCCTTCCTGAAACCAATCATCTATCCCTTCCCTTCCACATGGCTACTTCTGCTGCTTTTACCCCTCCTTTCTTCAGAAAAAGGAAACAAACATATCCTGGTCTAGAGACAGCATGTAATATGGCTGGTTTTAAGTTGTACTATGCTGATGGGCACAGAAACCAAATTGAACTAATCACAGGCAAGCTCACGCTGTGGTTCTCCCCTCAGAGAAAGTGGTATTTGTGTTGTCACAATCTCAGAGAACGTGTCAAAGCCCAGTTGGTTTGAAATGTCCATCTCAGTCACATCAAACTGTCCCACTGACCCAAAAGTCAATGGAGGCCTTAAGGGGAAACTGGAAAGATCACATGAGAAGGCAATGACTGCAAAAAGTAAGGTTCCTTCAAAACCTGTCCTGCAGTAAACATTCCCTTTCTTAAGAAGCTGAAAAGAAACATCCTCTGCATGTAACAGGCACAGCTGCTTACCGCTCAACGACATAGAAGTTATCTCCATCATCACCTTGGTCAATCACATGTTCCTGAGGTTTCACCTTCCTCTCAAACATGGCATCAAGGACCTGAGACAGCTGCTCCTAAAAAAACAAGCAGGAGGTGGGGAAAACCCAAACCTGTCAGAAAACACACTGCTGGACAAATGGTGAATTCATCTGACTTGATCTGGACAGTGAAGCACAACATGCACTGCATCAGTTTTACTGTATGCAAATACCAGGAACACTGGTATCACGTGTTGATTTCTACTGGCACCTCCCTCATTTCCAGCTTATTAATATAAGTTCAAAAATGCAGAGAAATATAGACACTTCCACCACAGAAGAAACATTATCTCAAATTTATGTCCAAATGGCTCAATTTTTGCATACTGTTTGAGTGCCACAGCACACATGTATGTTTGGTATAATCTGACACAGCTTCACTGCAATGGACACACATGGATTCATGTCAATGGTAGGTGTATTTCATTATATGTGTGTCTAGAAACCGCACCATGATCTATGAGTAAATTGTCTGTGCTGTCATCATCTAAGAGCCCCAGTCCCGACCAGGATTGTACTGACCAGGATTCTATACAATTATTTCCTTAGATAGTCTGTGTCTCAGAGAACCTGCAGTTCCAGCCCCAGATGAGATGGGATAGGTACAGATGGGGAAAACACACAGAAAATGGGATAATGCTGGTGCGCACAGCAGGCTCCAGCTGGGTTTTCCTGATGAGCCAAGACTAAACTTTCTTTTTTTTGCAGGCAGCACAGCCAGGGAGGCTGCGAAAGCCAAGACAGATGACACCACATAAATGCCTTGCCTCGATGCTGACCTGCTTTACCAACTTTGTTATTCCCAAGCCCATTAACAATATACTTTTGCTGCATTTTCAATGACCAGATGTTCAAAGCTGAAGATGTAGATCGCAGCTGAGTTTCTAAAAATACACTGCATGAACACGCAAGCCAGTCTTTATGCTGCTAGGTGCACTTGAAATATTTACTGCGTTCCTGGAGGTGGAAATTATCATTGCAGCATCTGTAGGCACCACTACATTGAAAATATTCCCTATCTTTTCAAGAGAATCCTATTTTCTTGTCTTTAAAAACCATGTCTGGACTGTTAGATCATGATATTAACTGTACATACAAACAATCAACTCCAATTAAGATTTCCTTAAAATGCTATTACCTGATCTAGGTTTTTGAAGAGCAGGATATCTTTACAAGCTTCCTGCAGTCGGCATCGCTGCTCATCAGTTTTTGGATGAACTACCTTTAAAACAAAGTAAAACAGAACTGTCATGACAACAAAGAAATATGATGACAGACCGAACCTTCACTTCAGACTGAAAAAGCAGAACACAATCTAAGTGTCAAAGTATACATTCTTTTTTTGTTGTTTACATAAACAGTATTTATATATAAACATAAAATGCATGACAGAATTAAAGAGACATATGAAAAATATTATGCTGACAATTAACACCTGCAAAATAACAGTCAGCACAGATACAAGAAAGAAAAGGATGCCTTTTCCATTCCTTTCCCTTCTAACACAGCCACACACAGTTAAGGTTTGAACACTTGAAATAGGAAAAAGTGAACAATTTTCTTTCCAAACTCTGGCTATATTAGTCCCAATATACTTAGTGTTGGTATACAGGCAGTTTATAAGATATATGATATATAAGAGTCTCAACCCATCTAACTATTGAAGAAGGACGTTTTTTTCCAACGAAATAACTAAAATAAAGCTTTGCTGTTTGAGATATTTTGCTACTTTTTTCCAATTATAAACTCTCATCAGGTTAAAGGAATTGATACTCACTGTATCATAAAAATGTTTATATATGTGTTTGGTAGGGGCTAATTATGAAAACATACATAAAAATATTAATTACCTGACATTCACCACATTAACATTTCTTATTTCTGGAATAACAGGGATTCGAAAAATCAGTTACATTACTAGGTATTTCTAAAATGTCATTATCCAAAGTTAAGCAGATCTCAGATCCTTATTTTAAAAGAAAACTGAATATCCTTGTGATGGAATCTGGAAAAGAACACCAGAAATCCAAAGAGAAAACACCGATAGTCACCAGCTAGGCTACAGGATCTGCTCACATAAAATCATCTCTAAAGAAAAACAATTGCAGTATCTGGATTCACAATTCCTAGAAATTCCCAGCTTTCGAAACAACAGGTGGCCACAGACTTAAAGTATTTCAACCAAGTATTTCTCCTACTCAGGCAGAACTGCTTTGACAGAAAGGCATAAAAAGCACGTGAGGAATTTTAAGCACCCATGAAGAAACAGCTGTGGTAAAGTTAACTAATTCTTCTCAACAGCATCAGTGCTCGAGGAATTGCCTCAACAAGCCTCGAAGATAATTAAGAAGGAAAATATCCAAAATTTTAAAGATATTAGACTTAAGCACAGCTCTCCAGTCCTTTGAAGTAAAATTATATTAACGCTGAAGTGACTAAAAAAGTGCATGAGACAAAGCTGGTCTTAAATTTCAGAGCAATGTCACTCAGTCAGTGTCACCACACCACGCTCAGCACTATAGGCACAAGTGGTAGGAAAATGCAACGTAGAGACATCTGCCTGTCAATCTGTAGAGAGAACCATGTATGAAATTATTTCCTCACTCACCCTTTGTTCTGTATCTTCTTCCTCTTCATCTGGATTGAAAGCTTCAGCACAAACTTGGAAGAAAAAGTGAGAGGAAATTAGTAAAGAGAAGCAATTACATGAGAACAGCAAACCAATCAGATTAAACACCTTTCTTCTGGATTTTCCTAAAGGAAAAACAAAATAACTTTTGATTTTATGTCATTATAGTGTCAGAGCCTTAAATCCTATCTGTTCTCTGAGCAGGCACAACATGGCTGTTCTCAGACTGTCATGTAAAAAAAAAAAAATCTGTAATTTACAACAGAAAATAATCTTGCCTAGCAAGTACTCTGAAGCATAGACACAGATTTCCTTTCAACTTGTATCAAAGCATAACAATCTCCATTCAGATTCATTTACAGGCATCTTCTCTAAAATGCAGTGGAAAAATACTGCATCTACACTGCTTTGTTCTTTACAGTGCAATGTACAGAGCAAAACATACTGGGAAAAAAAAAGAGAACAAGGAGGGATGAGACACTTGCTCCACCTCAAGTCAGATGTGCAAGTATCGATATTTTGGGAGTTTTATATTTTTTATATCTTGATGCAGAGAAATAATGTTTGCACCGAAATTAACCCAGGAAATGAACAATCAGCTTGACCAGAGTATATTCTATGACAAAAATAATATTTTGTCCCCTCCCTCATATGTTCCTAAATCTTACTATATTTGAATCAAATGAATGTCAATTGGTGATTCAAACTAACTTCAAAAATTACACAAAGTGATCTTTTTAAAACGGATGAGAATATCTGGAAAACCACACACTGCAGAACTCTGGGCCATAGCTCTGCCAAACATGTCATTATACCTACAGGATCAATTGGAAGAGGCAATAATGGTGAGCTGCTAAAATTTCAGATGGTTTTGATTCTTCAAAAAAGGCTTATCTTCACTTATCTTAACAGTTACACTGTTACACAGTTTTACCATATTAAACACAGACGCTGTGGCTGCCAACATCCAACAGTTCTAGCTCAGATTTTCTTATTAATTCATGCACATTTACAATTCTTGCATGTCAAAGGGATCTGCATATTCTAACCACCTGTACAGATAATCCGAGAAAGAGGAGCCAGTCCTGCTTGCATCTAGCTGTCCTCTTACTTTAACAAGGGTGGTCTCACTTCCAAGGCTATAGGCCACTTGTAAAATTTTACAAGGAAACATCGACAAGCATTTTTCTTTGTACTTTATCCAGGATTCTGACAATACTGAAGACTTGGCAGAATGCCCAGAAGCTCACTGCAATGACATCTAACCCCTGAATGGACTCAAAGTATAAACAAAAATAAGCAGATTTAAAAAAAAAAAAATCTAGAAAGTCTAGAATTCAGCAATTTGCAAATAATTTGAAAACACACACAGGCCTATTGACCCTGTCATCATGCTTTCAAAAGGACTATAAAAATGGACAAGTCCAGCATAATTTGCTAGGAAAGATTTGTTTAGGTTTGGGTGTTTTGGTTTGGGGTTTTTTTTCCTTACCTAAAAGATACAGGTCTTTCCTAACAAATTGGATTTTAATTCCTTTCTTCCCTGGAGAGAGTGAAGAGACTCAAGCAACACAAGCATTCCACTTAATAAACCACAATGTAAAAACCCCATCATGTAATCATTAGGCCTCAGACATTTAAAGAGTAATTATTACTCATACAATAAACCCATTTAACAATACAGAAACAGTATACCTATCACACGCTTTCAGTTTAACAGAGGGATCCACGCACACTTAGGGACGATACTTTACAAAGGATAAACAGCATTCTTCCCAGCTGAAAAAAGTATAGTCCACCCCACAGTCCAAAAATGACTGGATTATGGGAAGGTGGATGCCTACAAGCGGCAGAATTTGGACTCATAGGCTGATCTACTTAACATGCAATACAAAGACACTAACAAAGAACATTATTAGCATTTTGGTGTGAAAGCTTTCCTCCTCCTTTCATTTTACAGTGAAGATCAAAGTCTATTGTCAAAGCTGTGAATTTTCTAATAAGGAACATTTTCTAAGAAGAAAGGTTCCTTGGTTTGGACAGTATGGTGAAACTGGAGATTAAATAAACTATATTTATTACAACCAGCATATTTTATGAGGAACTGAAGTATAATTCCCTATTTTGCACTATAGTATATACTATAAATGCACTTCTGTACATTTCTGAAAGTACCTGGCATGTAAGCACATTCAAGATATGTCTGAATTCAGAGATCATTGTACTTCACTGCATCATTTTATCATCCAAATTCTCTGTACTAAGCTGCAAATTTGATTTTGTTCCTGCCTCAGCTGCAGGGAAAATATTGCTAAAGAATGCTTTGGAATTCAGGAAATTCTCTTCAATATTTCCTTGGGAAAACGAGTTAATAACCCCAGTTAAAACTAGAGCATCAGAGCAAAACCTTAGATTAAAACAAGCAGCAATCAAAGCAACACAGTTCTCCGCAACTTCATTGTGAAATAGCTTTGGTTGAGGTCTGTACACGTAGATTTCCCCTATTTCATCTTACCCACCATAAAGCCCAGAAAGAATGTATCCATCTAGGACTCAGTGCCCTTCCCTTACATATGGAAATTACCTCTGCAGTGCCCATGACCGGGCACCACAAAAATACAACAAAAATGTGGCAAAAACGGCATTTCTTCCCATACTGTCACATAGAAAATCTTCCCATTACACTTTTCATTCTTCAACCTCCTGCTGGAATTTCTTTTTCCCCAGAGAAGCATAGGGAAGAAATTTTGGACTTTGGACAACTCTGATTGACAGGACTTTATTCACTTGCAGGCAGAGCTGTAACACTTAATGTAACATATCTGTTGTGGGACGGTAAAAACAGGGGAGAGAGACAAAATTATGATTTCTGACTTCAAGCTTAAATTAATATTGTGAAATGCTGGAAATCCCACAGCAAGCTTTTCAGCCTACTCATAACAACCAACAGCATTTTCCAAATACTTGAAAACATGACTAATGCAAAGGAAAGGTAAATATTACATCAAACCCATCCCATGGTTTATGTCTCAATATGTCCAATTTTTATTTCCACTATTTTTAATTGTTAAATCACTTGTGGAAGGCTATAGTGTTGAACACATGACCTACTGGTATCTGTGTGTCAGCCCTATCTTCAAAATGTTTTGTGATATCTGTGCTCAAACAGTGTTGCTTTGTTATTCTTCTGGCTGAAAAGAACTCCTGTAACACCTAAACTCTGCCAATCCCTGTCAGAAATCTATGGAATTTCAGGACTCCTCAAGGTTATTCATCTGTGGGTTACAGTACAGCCCAAAGAAAAAAACATCTGATCTTTCATCTTGACAGAGTGAAAATGTACTTGACCCACTATTTGATACATGACTGAATTCATGTATTAACTATTTCAGTATCCCAATAAAGCAGATACTCCAAAGTTTATTCTCACAAGATTATCCTGAGGAAATGCACTGCTAGCCTTTTTCAGACCCACTGAAATGGCAGTTGGAAGGGATCTCTCTCCAAAGGTCATTCAGTCCAACCTCCCCCTTCAAGGGGAGCTATTTGGAATGCTGGATTGGGGCTGACTTGGAAACCTCCCTGGGTGAAGATTGCACATCTCTCTGCTGACCTGCTCCACAGCCCTCCTGGGGAAGAGGCTTTTCTTAACCTGCAGTCTAAAGCTCACAAGCTCTTGATATAAATTGAAGTGACTTCTGAAATCACACCTTACCCATGTGAGATTCTGAGCACAACTCTGCCCTTGAGCAAACACGAGGCACAAATCCATCAGTGGAAGTTACACACCAGCGTGACGCACACCACAGTTATGTGTTTCCAATACTACAGCTCCATCAGCTCACATCATGCAGACCAAGCTTCCTTCCAAGTCTACCCACATAGCTCAAATAGCTTTGGAACATAAAAAACAGTTTTCAGTTTTAAGAAGCTTTAAGATAGAAAGAAATTCAGCTTTTTATCCTATCATCTACATTTAGTCTCTCTTAGCTCCTGCAGCTTCTACAGCAAGTTTAGATTTCTCTCATGCTGCACCGTCTTTGGCTTTCAAGAACAGGCACATCTGTTAACACTTCTGAAGGCTCAGAAACGACACAACTCCATCAACTTTGTTATGCAGGTGACAGCATCTGAAAGCAACCAAGATCTCCACAGCGGCAGCAATGACACCAGCAGTGGATGGTTGAGGGGGAAGCAAAGGGGGGGGAGAGAATGAGAAGTAGCAAGACACCACCTTATGCATGTTTTAATAACTCTCAAGATAATGTTGTTCGGCAAAATATGAGTTTTGTCAAGATCAAAGTCCTTTCACTCTGTGCAAATCTGCATAATAGCTGAACATTTAGCTCTGGCAAGCCAATACAGCCTCTGAGAGAAACAGAACACACCATCCTGGTCCCTGAGAGATCACTGCTTGTTTTCTTCAACATAACAGCAAGAGGCTGCGGCCTGAATATCTTCAGACACACACAAGAAATTAAACTTCTATGTTTTATATAAGGTGAATGCATTATTAGTATTTCTGTTGCTATTGAAACAAGTAGCAAATCGATGCTCTGTCACATTTTCTTTGCAGTTTTGGACAGCACCTTCTGTACTCTGAAGTGAAATCCTACTCACTCTTCCTTACTTATGAGGATGCATCACCTCCAGCTGATCCTATCAGCCCCATTAATAAAAATCCACCCAGAGCAGTACATGCAGAACCACTTTCCCAGTTATTTATTCAGGTGACTAATCTTACACTACATTTATTGCCACGTTCTTTGCATTTGAGTTTGTCAAAGCTTCAAACATTTCATACGTCTGTCTCTCAAGGGACAGATGCAAAGCCTCTTCTGGGAGCAATATGCCAGCTGGAAAGGTGACCACTTCCAGGGTCTTGTCATTCCCTCTTTGACAACTGAGTTGCTGAGTTGAAAATGCTGGAGTCAGATGAATTAGGAAGCTTAAGCAGCACTTTACATAGGTCTTTGCTGGCACAGCTCAACGTGATTTTCTGCACTTGAGAAACAACTTCAAGTTTCCTTTC